AAAATTGCCGCTTGCACAAGCCTTGTATAAATTCTGGGTTACAGCATAATTAATTTGTTTTTGGAAGTGATTGTAGCACTCATGAAATGTTCCTTTCCAAACAGGCTAAGTTCTCTTTTTTCTACTTTTAACCCTGATAAACAGGCTAAGTTCTCTTTTTTCTACTTTTACCCCTCAGAAAGCAGGCAATGTCAGTACAAGCCTGTCTTAGGCAGTACTCTCCATTCCCACATTAGCACTTCAGTAGTGTTTAGCATTTGATTCATTATCCATAGCTTCAAAAGTGCTATCACCACAAGGGTACCAATTCTGATGGCAATTTTTGTAATACAAATATCTTCCCATGAGTAACTACATGAGTTATGCCTGCATGAATTATAGCTTTCCAATAAACTGAGTAACATTTTTAAACCAGCTGCAGGTATTTGTTTTTAACTACAAGTTTAAAAACTGAAAGCATGATATGTCTCCATGTTTTTTAAATAGAAGTAATGTGCTGATCATGGAATTCTGGATCATCTGTGGTAGAGTTATAGCTCCTAGAGCAGTGATTCTCAACCAGGCACCCTGGGTGCCTTGAGAGCCTTTAAGGGTGCCACAGGATGCCACACAATATTAGGACTGTTAGGTGTGTAAACATGATAAACCCAAAGATTGCAAGTAGGAATCCATCATGTTAAAAACATTCTGACCCATTGTCATCTTTTTTAGTTCTTTGTGACAGGAGAACTGCTGTTATTTTTCTGTAGTCAAAAAATGTGTGAAAACTAATTGCTGACATTTTATGAGAAGTGTCTATCAAGGGGTGCCTTGAGATTAAGAAGGCTGAGAACCACTGTCCTAGAGGCATTACAGTTGAGTGGCAATTGGTTCCTCTGTGTAGCCTTTGAAGGCCACATGGGTTTCTTGAGTTATTGACTGGCTAGGGAGGCGAATCATTGCTTTTTATTTTCAGGCTGTTTTACCATTCCAGTAGGCCGCCTTCTATATTTCTAGCAACATCACCTAGATAGCATTTTAAAGGAATAATAAAATTGTTATAGCTGTCAACACAGGATGGCAAATTTATTTAGGAAGTAAGAAAAATGTCCTTACAAGAATAAAAGAATATTGTGTTTTGACTATAACTTTAAAATCATGTATATTGCAAATTCAGTTTTATGAAGACACAATAGATGTTTCATTCTATCAAAATCAATGATGGAAAATTTAAGATATGTGTTATATATTACAGATATGTTTTAAATATACTGTTGGGGAAAAAAAGGCAAAATAAATTGGTGAAGTTTAAATTTTACCTGCAGTAGAGCATATACTCCTGACAATACCAAAAAGATGGGGAAATATCTAGGGAAATATTTTAAATAGTTTGTTAAAAAGTAAACAAAGCCATACATGCAGATAAGCATAAAAAGAGGTCTTTTGGAGAACAATGAAAGAGTTTTTGAGTCAAAGATACCATGTCTTCTGACTATGAAAGAGAAAGCAGCTGCACTTAAGTAACCTCCTCATTTGATTCATGGTTATAATAATAATAGTTATCACAAAACCATTAAAATCCTGTTAATGTTAATCTTCACAACATAGATCAGTGAATATCTGCATGCCTGGATTTAACTAAATTTAAAAAAAAAACCTGCCACTGTTCATACCAATATGATGGGCATTTATAATCTTTCTTGGAAGCTTTTCCTTGATTTGTTCAAAAGATTAGTTGTGGTACAACATAGTGCTTATAATCTTCCTACTGGCCAGAACTTGCATCCTTTTGAGTACTATATGAACTCCCTTAATTGGGAGCTTAATATTTATTTACTGAATTTACCTGAATCCAAGATGACTTTGAACTTAAGGTGACCCCGCATAATTAGATTCTATATATGGAAAATATATATATTTGTTATGCTTTTCCATTTATGGAATCTAATTTTGGAGGATAATCTTAAATTCCTCCCCTGCAGAGGTTGGTATTGGTGTAAGGACAAGCCTTGGGGGAGTCAAGTTGCCTGACCTCTGCTCCTTGTCACCTGGCCCTCCCACCATATCGCCACCCCCATTGCTTGGCCCCCCCAAAGCTTGTACACCCCACACCTCCCCCCACTGCAATGCCTGCACCACCTGGCACCTGCCCTTCTGCCACTCTACTCCCCCCCACACACAGTGCCTGCACCACCCCAGCCACTTGCCCCACCTCCTGCCTGCTCCCCACTCCTACCTATGCCCCCTGGCACCTCCCCCTCCCCACAGTGCCTGAACCCCTGGTACCTATCACCCCCATCACTTGCCTCTCCTTCTGCCTGCCAACCCCCCATGCCTGTGCCCTCTGAAGCGTACCTCCTCTGGCAACTGCCCCTCTTGTTTGGCCCCCCTGCTCGATACCCCCCATGGCACCTCTGTCCCCCACAGTTGCTGCCTCCCTCTCTCCCCCATCACTGCCATTCATCTTATATATATGCGTGTGTGTGTGTGTGTATATATATACATATATGTGTGTATGTGTGTGTGTGTGTATATATACATATGTGTGTGTGTGTGTGTATACATATATGTGTGTGTGTGTGTGTGTGTGTGTATATATATATATAAAATCAATCACTTCTGGACATCACTTCTGGACCTCACATCATTTTTGAATGCTTGGGTTAAGCAACATTGCAGTTGTCTCAGTGAAGTCAATGGGACTAATCACAGTGCATTAATTTAAGCATGTGCTTAAATCTTTGCAGGATTGGGGCTTTAGTATGTAATATTTCTCTTCCCTTTGGTCAATATTTGGAAGCCTGTGAATGCCATTCATATTTCTTTAATCTCTTGTAATGTTTTCAGGCAAAAAGATATTTCATCTGCAGTATAGACTGGTTTTTACATGTCATAGTGACATCTTTTTAATGAAAAACATTTGGGTATTCAATTATGATGTGTGAAATTCTAACGAAATCCAGTATAAGTTCAAAGGAATATATCTGAGTGTCACTGGGAGAACAGAGAAGCTATCTACACCCCTTTCATTCTGCTTATTGAACATTCTTGAGAAAGGTGAGGTGTTGACTTTTTAAGTGTGGACCATGATATTGCTGTAATTTTTCTCACTCAAACAATACTTTATTTAATTGGCTCTTTTCTGGTTGTTCCCGTCTCAGGTATGATATCCTACCACTGTGTGAACCAAACAGCTGTCAAGAGTCATTACAGTGATTCTCACGATTCTTTCTCCAAGCTACAGCTGATATCTTTGAAATTGTAAAATGTCATTTAAAGCTGGTTTTAAAAATGCTCCATTGGGTCTAAGCAAATTAAACAAACATATTTCCGTGCCTCTTACTGATCTTCCTTTGTACAGAACCTGGGGGTTTGTTCCTTTCCTCCACCAGGTTTCCAGCTGTGGCAGAGGGATGGAGGGAGAGGCTTTGGTCTCACTTCCCCTTAGCCTGGAGTTCAGTAAGGCAACGGCTTCATTTAACTGAATGAAAACTGAGGAGAATCACGAGACTTTGGTGGCCGTGTTGGTCTAAGGACATAGGCAGACAAGGTTCCTTGGGTAAATGCGTATATTTTATTAGACCAACTCAAATAGTTGGAACCATAGGCAATGCGTAGGGGGAGCATGGGGGGTCACGAGCCCCCCCCTGAAATTGGCTACCACCGGCTTCTGCGGGCAGTCATCCTTCCCCACCCCGCTGCCAATGCTGCCACCCACAAACTGTGCCTCCCCAGTCTTGGGAAGCACTAGTTGTTTGTGGTTGGAGCCATGGGCTACTGGCGCCATCTTAGTCAACATGCTCCTGTACTCCCTCTGCTTGGGGAGGGGGGGGGGGGGGGGGGGGGGGGGTCAGCAAAACTCGCCAACCGGGAAGTGGCCGCGGCGCTCCGGGACGCGACTGCGGTGCTACATCCAGCACTCCCAGCCCCTGGGCAGCACCCGCGTGGGGGGGGGCACCATTGCTTCTACCTACCCGTTACCTAAGTGGGGAGTGCAGCCAGCCAGGGGGTGCACCGGCGCTCTCAGGGGGTGCCCGTGGACCCCCTACGCGGTGCCACTGGTTGGAACAATTCTTCTCTGCAAGCTTTCGGGTACAAATACCCGCAGCGAGGCTGGTGTGCGCTCTTCCCGGAGGGAAGGAATAGGGGCCAGAGGGGAACTGAGGAGCCCGCGGGCGAGAGGCAGGCTGCACTTCGGTGCAGTAGAGCCCAAGCTGCTTCAGAGGGCCCCTTGCACAAGTCAGCTCTGGCAGGAGTAGAAATGTTAGACGAGAGGGGAACGAACGGTCCCAGGAGGTTTCTTTCAGTGAGTGCTGCGCTCAGCCTAGAGCATCACGCAGCTACGGCCCCCTGCCCTCCCTGCCTCCCGCAGCGCCCCATTGTGACGGGCCCATGGCGAG